ATACACTAGACTATACACTAGACTATAGACTAGACTATAGACTAGACTATAGACTAGACTATAGACTAGACTATAGACTAGACTATAGACTAGACTATAGACTAGACTATAGACTAGACTATAGACTAGACTATAGACTAGACTATAGACTAGACTATAGACTAGACTATAGACTAGACTATAGACTAGACTATAGACTAGACTATAGACTAGACTATAGACTAGACTATAGACTAGACTATAGACTAGACTATAGACTAGACTATAGACTAGACTATAGACTAGACTATAGACTAGACTATAGACTAGACTATAGACTAGACTATAGACTAGACTATAGACTAGACTATAGACTAGACTATAGACTAGACTATAGACTAGACTATAGACTAGACTATAGACTAGACTATAGACTAGACTATAGACTAGACTATAGACTAGACTATAGACTAGACTATAGACTAGACTATAGACTAGACTATAGACTAGACTATAGACTAGACTATAGACTAGACTATAGACTAGACTATAGACTAGACTATAGACTAGACTATAGACTAGACTATAGACTAGACTATAGACTAGACTATAGACTAGACTATAGACTAGAATATAGATTAGACTAGACTATAGACTAGACTATAGACTAGAATATAGATTAGACTAGACTATAGACTAGACTATAGACTAGAATATAGATTAGACTAGACTATAGACTAGACTATAGACTACATTATAGACTAGACTATAGACTAGACTATAGACTAGACTAAGCTTGAAAGGAGAGTGATTTTTTTGAAAACAACTTTTTATGCGTTAATTTTCCTGGCTTAATCCGACTTCGAGCAGGTGCAGAGGTTAGGCTCCACATTGTCGTACATTTAAAATTTACATAGAATTTTAATAAATTATAAACAACTTTAGGAAACAGCTGCTTGGAAAAAAGTAGTTTTTCAACCATAAACAACTTAAAGTAATTAATAATTAATTAATAATTGTTAATAGTTAACACTTTTAACACACATACATAAGTACAGGGGCACTTTAAAGGCAACAACAACAATAAAGTAAAGAAAAAACTTAACAAGCCGGATAGCAATACTACTCCGATTAGTAAAGTATCACTTAAAATATGGAGGACACTTAGAAGATAAATTTTACTTTAATAAATATTTCAATTAACATTTTTTCTCTCTCTTTGACTTGCAATAAATAAAATTTCTAGAAAAAAGACAGACAGACAGACATTCATCACAAATTTTCTTAAGTTGCAGTAGACCAATTGAACTCTATAGTTCAGTTTTAAATGAGAATTGTTGGATGGGGCGATTACAGCTTGTGCTGTAATAAAAAGGGAAGATACCCCTCTCTTTTAGACTCTTAAAGATCCATTAAAAGATGTTAATGCTGCTGGCTCTGCTGGCATCAAGTATGTGGAACATTTCTACTTTTTTCTTGAAAAAACAAAAAAATTAACTTTAAGTGACCCTTTTTATTATTGTTGTTCTTGGCTGTCGTTTTCTCTACTTTAATTTGCAAAAAAAAAAAACAAGAAACATCTAAGAAACTCTACTTAAAAACTAGCTTCTTTTTTTACAGCAATTCAAATAATGTTGCAAGTTTTTTTTTTTTTGCATCACAAAACAAAACGATGTCAACTGTTGAGGCTGCCTTTGCTGCATTAAAAAAAAACAATATGTGTTATTTTTTCGCAGATAAACTCTGCCATAAAAATAAAAGCTACAAAGTGCAAAAAATTGTCATGCAACTTAAATAAATATAAAAGAATTTTAAATTAACAATAGAGTTTTTAGAAGATGAGCAGGTCTGTTGCAAGTTTAGTTTAGGTCAGTTTTTTTTTTCGTTTAGACAAACAATTGGGCTTTTATGCCTCGCAGAAAATAGAGGATTCTTTTGGATTATATACAGATTCAAAAGGAATTTGTTTTAAAGGATTAAGGCCATAAAGTAGTGAAAAATATTTAGATTTCACTTCAAAAGGATTTGGGTTAAAATAAACAAAGTTTAACAAGCAAATGGTACTAATTTTTGGTAAAATTATGTCATGACATAATATAAAAGAAGAAAATTACATATTACAAAACAACAAAAGTTATTATTTTATCAAAAAAAAAATATAAAATAAAAATGTATGTCTTGACATAAATATTTTTGTCATGACATAAATTTTTTTATGTTAAAAAATATTGACAAATGTTACTATATATAAAATTATACCCTAAAAATTATGTTTATGTCATGACATAATTATGTCATAACAGAAAAATGTCGATAACAAATTTTGTACTTATACAACGTTATATATATTTATGTCAAGACATATGACATATTAAGATAAAAAAATATAAATAAATCCTTATTTAATAAAAGTTTGAAAAAATTATGTCTTGCTACAAGACATGCCATGCCATAATAATTTATCGAAAAATTTAAATTTAACACAAAATTTCAAATTTAAATTAGTTTAACATTTTAATATAAAATGACATTTGTCATGACTTGAAACATAAATATACTAATGCCATGCTATGAGACGTAAATATGTTAAGGCATAAATATGTCTTGATCAAAGTTTAATTTAAAATACAATTTTATTAACAGAAGTAATAAAAAATATATTTCCTAAAAAAATTATGTCAAGCTACAGGATATATGTAACTTTCGAAAAGATATGTCATGCTACAAGACATATTTATGTCATGTCATAAAAATTTATCAAAAAATTTAAATTTAGCACAAAATTTTAAATTCAAATTAGTTTAACATTTTAATATAAAATGTCATTTGTTATGACTTAAAACATAAATATGCTAATGTCATGCTATGAGACATAAATATATTAATAGCGTGACATAAGACATATGCCTTGATCAAAGTTTAATTTAAAATACAAGTTTATTAACAGAAATAATAAAAAATATATTACCCATAAAAATTATGTCAAAGTAAAGGACATTTTTATGTCATGCCATAAATTGAAACTTGAATTTTCACTAAAAATAAACTAATTTTTAATGAGATAATTCACAGTTTTTAACGAAAAACCTCATTTTCACTAAAAATTCACATTATTACCTAAAAATCACTTTTGGACTGCAAAAATTCACTTTTCCACTTAAAATTTATAATTTCACTGAAAAATCATATTTTCACTAATAATTCATAATTTCAAATAAAATTCATCATTTCAATGAAAATTCATCATTTCACTGAAATTTCATAATTTCACAGAAAATTCATCATTTCACTGAAAATTCATCATTTCACTGAAATTTCATATTTTCACTTAAAATTCATTTTTCAATAAAATTCCACTTTTTTACTGAAAGTTTACATTTCACTAAGAATTCACTTTTTTGCTTAAAATTCAGTTTGTGACTGAAAATTCATCAAAAATTCATAATTTCACTGAAAATGTTTATTCTTAATGGAAATTAATATTTAACTAAAAATTCATTTTTCAATAAAATTCCACTTTTTTATTGAAAATTTACATTTCACTAAGAATTCACTTTTTTACTTAAAATTCAGTTTTTGACTGAAAATTCATCAGAAGTTCACTTTTCCACTGAAAATTCATATTTTCTTATTCTATTCTCATTTTTACTAAAAATTCACTTTTTCACTAAAAATTCGCTCTTTCACCAAAAATTCACTTTTTTACTAAAAATTTTTTTTTTCAACATAAATTCACTTCAAACCGAAATTTCACACATATTCACCGAAAAATAACTTTTTCACCGAAAATTTCGCCGGAATTTCACTTTTTTGTTAAAAATCTAATTTTCATTTTTTTTACTAAAAAATTAATTTCACTTAAAAATTCTCTTTTTCACTAAAAAATACACATTTTTACCAAAAATTCACAAATACTCACCGAAAATTTCACTTTTTTGTTAAAAATCTAATTTTCACTTTTTCACTAAAAAAAAAACTTTATTATATTCTCGTTTTCACTTAAAATTCTCTATTTCACTTAAAATTCACTTTTTCACTAAAAATTCACATTTTCCCCAAAAATTCACTTTTTCACCAAAATTTTATTTTTCACCAAAAATTCACACATATTCACCAAGAAATAAGTTTTTTCACCGAAAATTTTGCTGAAATTTCTCTTTTTCATTAAAAATCTAATTTTCATTTTTTCACTCAAAAATTCTTTTTATATTTTCATTTTCACTTAAAATTCACTTTTTCACTAAAAATTCACTTTTTTTACAAAAAAATCACATTTTCACCAAAAATTTTATTTATCACCATAAATGTACTTTTCTCCAAAAATTCACACATATTCACCAAAAAATAACTTTTTCACCGAAAATTTCGCTGAAATTTCACTTATTATTAAAAATTTAATTTTCACTTTTTCACTAAAAAATTCTTTTTATATTCTCATTTTCACTTAAAATTCACTTTTTCACTAAAAAATCACATTTTCACCAATAAATTTATTTATCACCATAAATTCACTTTTCACCAAAAATTCACACATATTCACCAAAAAATAACCTTTTCACCAAAAATTTCGTTGAAATTTTAGTTTTTTATTTAAAAGCTAATTTATAACTGAAAATTTACAATTTAACCAAAAAATTAAATTTCTTTCTTTAATTAACAAAATTTCGAAGTTTGTTTTTAAAATCTGACTTCAAAATTAGTCACCATTTTATTGAATTAAATCCGCCTCTATTTTAGTAATTCTAACACTAAATTTTTATAAAAATTTTTGTAGGCTTTAAAATGCTTTTCAATATTTAACACCTTTTTTATTGGAAAACGCACATAAATTCCTACGCCCACAACATAAAACATGAAACTTTAACCCGACACCACCAACTTGAAATGACCGTTAAATATTTCATTACAAACAAGAATTATTACTTTATACAGAATCAATACTCAAAAATTAACATATTTATTTTAATGTTTAACAAATTTTTTATTAAAAAAAAAACTTTTATTTTATTATTTAATTACAGATACTGGACAACAAATTGATGCCCCATAAAATACCAAACACTTTTAGAAAATAAAAAAAAGAAAAGAAATGTGTGGGTAACTTCCCTCCAATTTGATTTGAAAATTTACAAAGAAAAACAAATTGATGAAATGTCATCATAATATTATCAAATATTTTTTTTTAATAATGTTGAACAAATTTCAATCACATTTTTACTACGAAATCCGTACCAAAGTTTATTTTTAACGAAAGAATAAAACGCAAAAAAACAACGAATTTATTTTAGAAGCTGTTTTTAAAAAGAAAAAAAAATTATTGATTAATTTTTTTTTTAAATAAAATAAAAATTATTGAATAAAATCACAGGCATTTGAAATGCCTACAGAATGTGAGCGAAGTTCTACTTCGCCAGCCACAACAACAATAACAAATAATTCAGCAGAATTAAAGGATAATTTAAATGAAGATTCAGCAGCAGCAGCTCAACAACAACAACAACAACAACATTCAGCAATGATGGATAACAGCGATAATATGTCAACTTCACAGACCTCTACTACTTCGAATGGCAGTAGTAGTTGTAATGGTGGTAGAAAAACGGTAAGTTCTTTAAAAGTTTCCTTAAAAAAACTTAATTATTTAAAAAAAATATTCTAATATTTAAACAAATTTCCCCTTCAATTAACTAAAATCTCTCTCTATTTTTAATTCTAAAAGCTGTTTAAGTGCTAATTACCCAAAGGTTTTAACTCTGCAATTATCACTTTAAAAACGCTTAAACAAATATTTAACTAACAACAATATTTAATTGTTGTTAAATTTATGCCAAACCATATATTCTTCTTTTTGTTTGTATATATAATATTTTTGTTGTTGCCCCAAATGGCCTATTGCTGTTCTTGTTAATGGGTTAAATAAAAGAGAGAAAGTACTTTTTGTTTTTGTACATGTTGCCACTCATTGTCAAGTAGAAAATATGAAAAATGTTTATAAACATTTTCTATTTTTGTTTTTGTGTTTTTGCCATAAACACTTAAAAAGTCAATAAACTAAACAATATAAAATACATAAATAAAAAAAGAAGAAGAAATAAAATGTTTAGAAAATCTAGTAATAGAACCTCTTTAAGTACAACAACAACAACAAAAATAAATATTATTAAAAACAATGCAAATAACAGTAATTTTAAAAAAGAGAAAGATACTACATATATGCTAAACTATAGACTTTAGACAAGATTTTAGTTCAGACCATACAATAGACTATAGCCCTGAAAATATAAAAGGCTATAGTCCTAACTGAACTATAGTATAGGCAAATCCACTGTAGTATAGGCAAATCCATAGTGTGGACTATAGTTCAGCGCATACAACTGTCAAGACTGCAGACTAGACTATAGTCTAAACTAGTGTAGTAGACTATACAGTAGACTACAGGCTATTGTCCAGGCTATTGAATAGACTATAGACTAGACTATAGTCCAGAATAAAGACTAGACTATAGTCCAAACTATAGGCTAGACTACAGTCCAAACTACAGACTATATTCCAAACTAAAGACTAGACTATAGTCCAAACTATAGACTAGTCTATAGTTCAGACTATAGACTAGCCTATAGTTCAGACTAGTTTACTAGACTATATAGTAGACTATAGTCTGGGCTATAGAATAGGCTATAGACTAGACTATAGTCCAGGCTATTGACTAGACTATAGTCAAAACTATAGACTAGACTATAGTCCTGAATATAGCCTAGACTATAGTCCAAACTATAGATTAGACTTTAGTCCAAACTATAGACTAGACTATAGTCCAAACTATATACTAGACTATAGTCCAAACTATAGACTAGACTATAGTCCAAACTATAGACTAGACTATAGTCCAAACTATAGACTAGACTATAGTCCAAACTATAGACAAGACTATAGACTAGACTATAGAATAGTCTATAGTCCAGACTATAGTCTAAACTAGTGTACTAGACTATATAGTAGACTAGACTATAGTCCTGAATATAGACAAGACTATAGTCCTGAATATAGGCTAGACCAAACCATAGACTAGACTATAGCACAGACTATAGAGTAGCCTATAGCACAGACGATAGACTAGCCTATAGTTCAGACTATAGACTAGCCTATAGTCCAGAGTATAGACTAGAGTAAAGTCCAGAATAAATACTAGCCTATAGACTAGCCTTTAGTCCAGACTATAGACTAGCCTTTAGTCCAGACTATAAGCTAGACTATAGTCCAGACTATAAGCTAGACTATAGTCCAGACTATAAGCTAGACTATAGTCCAGACTATAGGATATTCTATAGTCCAGACTATAGGCTATTCTATAGTCCAGACTATAGGCTATTCTATAGTCCAGACTATAGGCTATTCTATAGTCCAGACTATAGGCTATTCTATAGTCCAGACTATAGGCTATTCTATAGTCCAGACTATAGGCTATTCTATAGTCCAGACTATAGGCTATTCTATAGTCCAGACTATAGGCTATTCTATAGTCCAGACTATAGGCTATTCTATAGTCCAGACTATAGGCTATTCTATAGTCCAGACTATAGGCTATTCTATAGTCCAGACTATAGGCTATTCTATAGTCCAGACTATAGGATAATATGTCAACTTCACAGACCTCTACTACTTCGAATGGCAGTAGTAGTTGTAATGGTGGTAGAAAAACGGTAAGTTCTTTAAAAGTTTTCTTTAAAAAAACTTAATTATTTAATTATTCAAAAAAATATTCTAATAATTAAACAAATTTCCCCTTTAATTAACTTAAATCTCTCTCTATTTTTAATTCTAAAAGCTGTTTAAGTGCTAATTACCCAAAGGTTTTAACTCTGCAATTATCACTTTAAAAACGCTTAAACAAATATTTAACTAACAACAATATTTAATTGTTGTTAAATTTATGCCAAACCATATATTCTTCTTTTTGTTTGTATATATAATATTTTTGTTGTTGCCCCAAATGGCCTATTGCTGTTCTTGTTAATGGGTTAAATAAAAGAGAGAAAGTACTTTTTGTTTTTGTACATGTTGCCACTCATTGTCAAGTAGAAAATATGAAAAATGTTTATAAACATTTTCTATTTTTGTTTTTGTGTTTTTGCCATAAACACTTAAAAAGTCAATAAACTAAACAATATAAAATACATAAATAAAAAAAGAAGAAGAAATAAAATGTTTAGAAAATCTAGTAATAGAACCTCTTTAGGTACAACAACAACAAAAATAAATATTATTAAAAACAATGCAAATAACAGTAATTTTAAAAAAGAGAAAGATACTACATATATGCTAAACTATAGACTTTAGACAAGATTTTAGTCCAGACCATACAATAGACTATAGCCCTGAAAATATAAAAGGCTATAGTCCTAACTGAAATATAGTATAGGCAAATCCACTGTAGTATAGGCAAATCCATAGTGTGGACCATAGTTCAGCGCATACAACAGTCAAGACTACAGACTAGACTATAGTCTAAACTAGTGTAGTAGACTATACAATAGACTATAGTCCAGGCTATTGAATAGACTATAGTCAAAACTATAGATTAGACTATAGACTAGACTATAGTCCAGAATATAGACTAGACTATAGTCCAAACTATAGGCTAGACTATAGTCCAAACTATAGACTAGACTATATTCCAAACTAAAAACTAGACTATAGTCCAAACTATAGACTAGTCTATAGTTCAGACTATAGACTAGCCTATAGTCCAGACTATAGACTAGACTATAGTCTAAACTAGTTTACTAGACTATATAGTAGACTATTGACTAGACTATAGTCAAAACTATAGACTAGACTATAGTCCAAACTATAGAATAGACTATAGTCCAAACTATAGACTAGACTATAGTCCAAACTATACTCTAGACTATAGTCCAGACTATAGACTAGACTATAGCACAGACCATAGAATAGTCTATAGTCCAGACTATAGACTAGACTATAGTCTAAACTAGTGTACTAGACTATATAGTAGAATATAGTCTAGGCTATAGACTATAGTCCAGGCTATTGACTAGACTATAGTCCTGAATATAGACTAGCCTTTAGTCCAGACTATAGACTAGACTAAAGTCTAAACTAGTGTACTAGACTATATAGTAGACTATAGTCTGGGCTATAGACTATAGTCCAGGCTATTGACTAGACTATAGTTCAAACTATAGGCTATACTATAGTCCAAACTATAGACTATAGTCCAGGCTGTAGCACAGACTATAGACTAGCCTATAGTCCAGAATATAGACAAGACTATAGTCCAAACTATAGGCTAAACTATAGTCCAAGTTATAGACTAGACTATAGTCCAGACTATAGACTAGACTATAGTCCAGACTATAGACTAGCCTATATCACAGACGATAGACTAGCCTATAGCACAGACGGTAGACTAGCCTATAGCACAGACGATAGACTAGCCTATAGTCCAGAATATAGACTAGCCTTTAGTGCAGACTATAGACTAGCCTTTAGTCCAGACTATAGACTAGCCTTTAGTGCAGACTATAGACTAGCCTTTAGTCCAGACTATAGACTAGCCTTTAGTCCAGACTATAGACTATGGTCCAGATTATAGACTAGACTATAGTCCAGGCTATAGGCTAGACTATAGACTAGACTATAGTCCAGACTATAAATTAGGCTATATCATAGACTACAGACTAGCCTATAGCACAGACGATAGACTAGCCTATAGTCCAGACTATAGACTAGAATATACTTCTGGCTATAGACTAGACTTTAGTCCAGAGTATAGTCTTGACTATAGTCCAGACTATAGACTAAACTATAATCCAGATTATAGACTAGACTATAATCCAGACTATACTAGACTATAGTCCAGACTATTGGCTAGATTATAGTCCAGACTATAAACTAGATTATAGATTAGACTTTAGTCCAGACTGTAGACTAGCCTTTAGTCCAGACTATAGACAATAGTTTAGAATATTAATATATACATAGTTCAGACTACAGCTTAGGCAATTCTTCAGACTATAGCGTAGACTATAGGCTGTACTGCTGAATATATATATGAGGCTGTAGTGCAGACTATAGACTAGACTATAGTTTAGACTCTAGTCCAGACAATAGACTAGACAATAGTCCAAACTATAGACTGGACTGTAGTCCAGAGTATGGACTAGACTCTTGTCCAAATTATAGACTACTCTTTTCCAGATTACATACTAGACTGTAGTCCAGAAAAGAGTCAAGACTTTAGTCCAGATTTCATTCAAGACTATAGACTAGACTATAGTTCAGACTATAGACAGGACTATAATTTAGACACTAGTATAGACTTTAGTCAATTCTAAATTTTTAATTGTTCAAGTAAAAAAAATTTACCCAAATCATAACCTATAAATGGCTTAAATTAACAATGTTTCAAAGTCTTTTGTAGCGTTTTGTTATTAGCATTTCACCACCCCCAATCCCCTTCAAATACATTTTAATCATAAATGGCGTTTTGTAAAAGCAAACAAATCTGTAAAGGTTATTGGCACCAAAAAGAAAATAAATCAATCAATTTTGTCTCTCTAACATTTATTTAAGCAAAAC